CCTACAATTGTTTGTGGCTGTTGCATGCAGGTGACTGATGCTTTGACACTGGCATTCGCTAGTGCTATGACACGGGCTGCACTGTTGGCCTCTGTGTCCTGGCTCTTCCACTCAACCCTAATGGTCTTTACTCAACAGTTTCATTGGTTCCAGGACAGCCTCATTCCTAAGTAGCTGTGCTTATGATGGCTGTACACATCTGCTGGAGTCAGCAGCTCACAGGATCTGAAATCCGTATTTACAGAGCTGATTGTGGGAGTGTTTGACAGTAGGCCCTGAAACATGGGGCAGTTTCACATTTTGAGCTCCTGCAGCAATGGTAGCCACAGCCCCTGAGAGGGAAGGAAAAACTACCTTAAAAGTCTGGGATGGGATGGGGCCAGTAAGAGCTACTGTTGTGGGTTTAGAAGAAGAGATTGGATTTATATCCCATCCTTCATTACCCAAAGGAGTCTCAGAGCAGCTTACAATCTCTTTTCCCTTCCCCTCCCCACAACAGACACCCTGTGAGGTAGGTGGGGCTGAGAGAGCTCTTTCGAGAACTGCTCGTGAAAGAACAGTTCTGAAAGAACATAACTGACCCAAGGTCACACCAGCAGCTGCACGTGGAGGAGTGGGGAATCAAACATGGTTCTCCCAGATTAGAGTTGGCGCTCCTAACCACTACACTAAACTGGCTCTCTTTAGGGGAAACATCTGCAATAACAGCCACTGCCAAAAGAATAGGGAGAGTTAACAGTGGGCTCACTGGCTTGTTAGTATGGCTGCAAAAGTACTTGTGGGCATTTTCATCCACAAGGCTTAAAAGGGGCTCTTGATTCAATCCCTATGCAAGGCAAACAAAAAACCTAAACTGGTGATAATGCTAATTTGTATTACAATTGCCTGTCATACTCTGCTGCACAGACAACAATCAGATTATCACAAGCAGCATATGGAGGGATTCAAAGGGGATTCTGGCCTCATGTGTGGAAGCCCTCCTGAGATTTCTCAGGAAAAACCCCTGGCTCATTGAGAGGAATTCAGAGTGGTTGTGGATTTCTGCTGAGAAATTCCAAGCTCTCACTGGTCAGCGAGACTGCTCCTGTATAGAAGCCGTTGTGCCCCCCCCATAACTGCAGCGGCACCAGTGGTTTTTGTTTTTGTTATTCTCTCCCACAAGCAGTATTAAATGACTGAATGGGATAATCAGGGTTACACTGCAGCCAGTGAGATACTGCCCTCACTAAGTACTGGTGTCTGGCATCTTTACCTTCCTTCTTGAAAACATACCTGATAGATGCTAGAAAGAAAACATGTCGCTATCATTGCCCTCCATATTGTACTGCCGACCAAGCTGCACCCCAGCCCTGTCACCCCACTCCCTAGTTACATGGCTGTCTTGAGGATAAAAAGAGGAAAGACAATATTAAAAAGAAAACACTTCAAATGGGGAAATTTTCTTCATTTTTAATTTACAGCAGAAAGAATATAAAGCATTCAGAAAACATTTTCCATATTTTAAGGGCAATTCAAAACATTTTGCATGGTTCCAGCAGCTGAGTTCTTCAACAGATCCATTGATTCAGTGATGCTTTTACATGCAGTTACAAAAATAAAACTTACAAAAGAGACATCTATACTAGTTTGACATGCAAGTCTTGGGGGACCCCCCTCCCCTCTGTTTGGGCGCCAACTACTCTGTGGAACTGCCATGAAGCGTGCAACCATGGAGGGGGTTCATGTTATATTCTTTATTTCGTTCACACAGTATGGTTTGTTTCTCACAGGTGATATCACACAAAGGAGCAATTCCAGTTTTTCAGGAGACACAAAAGGATGCTGGGCCCTGCTGCTTGGGAAGCCCGGTTATCCAGGATGCCCGTATGGGTTTTTCCCTGTTGCTAACCAAGTCTCACAACCAAGGTAAGGGGCAGGCAGAAATACTTGATACTAATTTGGGGAGTGATTTTAAGCGGAATGTGCCAGAGGTCACTGATGTGGCAAAAAGTCACGGCCCCAATTCAGCAAGGCATTTTGGCACATGTCAAACTTTAAGCACATAGGTGGACCCCTGAGCTCTCCGTGGAACTGGGGGGAGGGTCTATGGCTGCGATCCTCAAGCTGCCTTGCAGGCACAAGCTGCCTCCTTTGCCACGGGACTTGCTCCAGCACAGCACATTGAGGGTCAGACTGCCAATGGGTCGATGCACCACCAAACCTGTGGATCTGGAAGGGTTAATGGTGAAAACACCTTAGTATCGCACTGAATCTGAAACCCCTTGGGACAAACAGAAACGGGACTGAAATTTTCCACTGGGGTCATTACTCTTGTTAGGTTAAAAAAAGGAAAAAAGCAATGATCTCTGCTCATAACATTACTACAAAAGAAGACGGAGAGCGTACCATTGTCAAATGTCAGTTCTGTCAGAGTATTCCAAAGGGCTTCCTTGCAGATTCTCATTCCCGTGTATGGAATACTTCTTGTGCAAGGGCCTCGTTCAATAAAATCCTTGCGTGGTTCGAGGCTGCCTCTGCCCACAGCATGGGAGCCAAATTCTTTTGGCATCTTTCGTTTTATTGAATCGGGCCAGACAGCAGCAATTAACAAATGTACAGAGAGTTCTGAGAACAAACTTCAGCACACATAAGGGTTATTTTTTTTCAATCCTGGCAGTGAAAGGAAGGTAATTAAAAAGAGATACAATTATGATAGAAAAGGCACCAAGAGCACTGACCCCAGGTTGGGTTTTTTGCCACTATCTTTGTGTTTTAATTTTTTTTAAAGACACCAGTTTAAAAGCTTCACAGAATTGTGAGTATTTTTAGGCTTCACAACAAGCCTTTTGAGCAAGACTAAAACATTTCACCTGATAGCTGGGGTCAAGCAAAGAGTGAGTGTTCATACATCAAGCATCTAAAAAGGTAAGACCTATCAACCCACTTGGAACATTAGCAAGAGACGCATGTGGGGGGGAGGCAGTGTCCACCTCTGACCTTAGCTACATCCAGTCAAAAGCCAAAATACTCCAGACAAAGCAGAGTAAGGTTTAAAAATCAGGCTCTGCCCCCTCCCCGTGGTCTACATTTCACATTAGCTTTAATATTGAAACGGCTAATTTAAAACGGATTTCTTTGGCTCCTCTCTATGTGGAAATAGCAATATACCATGACACCCCTACAAACCTGTTTGCATCTTTTAATTTTTTTACTTTTTTAAAATTTTTGTGCAATTTTTAGTACATTGTCTGACTTCCAGTAGGAAATATGGACATGTGAAACATTTTTCTACTTTAATACTATTTTCTTTTTATTTTCTTTTTTTCTTTTTTTAGTTTATGTTCATTCTAAGTGTTCTTTATTGGAGTGTGTGTATGGTGTTAAGCTAGATACAATTTTGTATTCTTATGATTATCTGCTTTGCAAAATAACTTAATTTTTTTCTTAAGCAATATTAGCATTCACTTTACTTGGCACCATTGGCAAAAAAGGAGAAATAAAATTAAAAAAAAATTAAAAACCCAAGAAGGTTAAAATAAAATTTAAATAAACTCCTGGTAGCCAAAATCAAATGTAAACATATCCTTTTTAAAAGTAATGTTACTTTGCCTTTTTCCTAAGTCTAAATACATTAGCTCTTTTTGTTTTTGCAGTTTTAGTCATGCTTTAGCAAAATGTTCTTCTAAAGAACATTTAAAATAAAGTTTCTTATAGTGAAATAAAGTTTTTGTTTCATTTTACAGACCATAGCCACTAATGCTTTGCTTTTTCATTTCTTTTTTTCCTTGAATTCATGCACATCTGTTTAGTATATACAATATGTACAAACAATACATCCACACTCTGCTCTTTCATTCAGACAAAACTATACAAATAATCAAATTTCTCTCACCAAGTTATTGACCCTTTGTGAATAAAATATTTAGCAATTAATATATTCCCTTTCAAATATTTCTCATTTCCATTTTTTACCTTCTCTCTATATACAGAAACTGCCTAAATTTTCTTTTCTTTTTGTTTGATGAAATAGCCAAAACAAGAAATTTACTGGCCGGAATGCAGCACCACACTGCCCCCCTTAGGTGGTCTAAATGTCCAGTCAGCTTATTTGCACATGACTTTTTCGGTCGCACAAGAGGTCTGCAGGTTACTAAAATGCTTTACAAATCATTGTTAAGTAAATAAGTAAAAATCTCGTGTGAAGTAAGGCCAGAAAATAAAGTGCCTAATATGAGAAGTGCATGGCAGTTGATATTCTTGAAGGCCCTAGAGAGGAAAAAAAAATAAAGACACCAAGAAAAGGAACTTTTTGCTTGAGCTGCTCACCCATTCTCTCCCCACCCCCACCCCCCTGCAAATACCCGTTTGCCTTAAAAACACTGACAGCTTTCAGGAAAAACTCCCACGGGATGTATTTAAAACCAGCAGATCTAAAAAGTTGCATTAGAGTGTGTTGTAAAGAGAGATTCAGATGAAGAACAGAAAGACAGACGTGCAAGGAAATGGAGAAGGGGATGGACGCAAGCAAGACGGAAGGTGATCAAAGCCTCTCCACGGAGAATCCCAACGTTTCTGGATCTTGGAGGTGAGCGGCAGGAGCAGGAATAGCATTCTTGGGTTGTGGGTTTTTGCTTTTTTTGGTATACTATTTGTACAGTTCCACACGGTTTTTTGTTTTGTTTTAATACAGCCCTATATGAAAAGGATAATTAATTGCTTCTTTTTTTTTTTCCTTTTCTTTTTTTGAGCGGAACGAAGCAACTCATGAAAACTCCTTTCGGTGTCACCTTTCCCCCCCATGATCCAACCAAAGATTTGAGTTCCAAGATGTCTTGCTGAACAAATTAAAAGTTGTCCATGAAAGTGCAAATGTAATGACTAAACATTACTGTTAAAATCCTGCAGCCGATAATCTCGGCCCTGCAGTCAGTTTCTTTTTAATAATTAAATCATTTTGTAATTGTTGTTGCATGTTTCTGCTAAAAACAGAAAATGAAAACAGTCTGAAAAGCAATGTCACATTGCTACGGGATGCTGCCGTCTCTATCTTCAGGTTCCTTGGCCTTTCTCAATTCTTTCACTCTGAAAAGACAAAGCAGGAATATTCTGTTTCAAAGCTCTCTGGCTGAGAAAGACATTGTTCATTTTGGTATAATTTTAGTTTTGCAAAATATATTAGTCTTTAAACATTTTCACTAAGCATTTAAGAATAAAAAAATACCACAACATTGCATTCAAAACTTCATGGAGTCCTAAGAAGTAGCTTCCAAATGTCAGTGGAAAGGAGAGAAGGCCAAAACATTAGTTCGTTAATTCATTCTGTACTGGAATCACAGTGGAAGTGTACAGTTCAGACCAGACTTGCAAATCGTGTGACCCGTTATGTCAAACATTGTCCACCCACCATGTACGGCAGCCCACCCAAGGCTTGAGAAATCACATGATTTTGCTGCCATCTTGGGTCTGCATTAATGGGGTGTACATATATGTGTCTGAGGGAAATAATGAGCAAGCACCTAGAAGGCATTTGTTTGGCCTGGTGGGTGGACTCACTTGGTGGTTTTTTTGTTTTGGTCAAGTTAACATTCCACAAAAAATAAAAATGAGCAGGTCTTCTGGGAAACATGTAAAGACATCAGTAACAAAAAGGCCCTAAACCAGTACTGTGAATAACAAATACATACTAAAAAAACTACCATTATACAAAAACGTTCCATGTGTAACAACAGAGACCCACATATGTCCCATGAGTTTTTGAACCTGGGGAACTCATAATGTACTTCGTTACTGACTGTTCTTTTGTACATATGGATCTATGATATTATATATTGAACATTTCTGTATAATTGTAGATTTCTAGTATACATCTTAGATTTGTTACTCACTGTATTGATTTAGGATCTTTTTGTTCCTGTTTTGTCACACAAGTTAACACTCAAGCTCTGGAGTCAAATGGCTATCAGGAGAATACTCTGCTGAGACGGTGGTTTGGGAACTGGGCTTATGCGAGAGAAACAGGCAGGTAAAAATGGCTCTTGTTACCACAGCAGCACAGGAGTTGCTTCCCTTCTTCCTATGCTTCCACGGTATTACTGGGAAGCCTGTGAGCAAGTGGACAGGGCCTCTGCTTGTTCAGGAACCCCTGGCAATGCAGACTAGCCTTTGTATCATTTTCTCCTCAAGGTATGTGCAGAAGCCCTTTGTGGAATTGAATGGACAGGAGGCTCTTGCATACAGAAAATAAAACTTGTTTCTGGGTGCATTCAGACAGCCTGTTGAAAATCAGTTCCTTGGATTAGCCCCAAAGCATACTTTGCAAGGTGAGCACTCATAGGAGACTAACAGTGCAACCATAAACAAAATTACACGCTTTTAAATCCACTGAAATCAATGGGTTTAGAAGCAACAAGTCTGTTTAGAACTGCACGATAAAAGACTGTCCTGCAGTAAGTCTCCACCTCAGGAACAAGCTTCAGGTGACTAAGTACGTTACGTGTCAAATGACATCATCATGCCAACAACAAAGTTAGTTATTGTCTTCAGAGTGCTACATTACAATCCTAAATAGAGCTATGCCCTTATAAATCCATGGAATTCAGTGGGTTTAGAAGGGTGTAACTTTAATTAGGATTGCATAATTGCTAGTACCTTAACTCCTAGCTTTTTGGTCTTTATAGGCATTGACCCCAAAGGCATACACATTGGTGTGCTGACCAATGCATAACCCAGTAATTACCTTTCCTCTCTGCCTGATGAAGACTTGTATAACTAAAAATTCTGTCCTTTATGCTAACAAAATACTCGTGAGAAAGACATTCTCCACACAGCTTCATTGTTAAGATCCACCCCAGCCCCAGTTATGACCCTGGACACAGTACCTAACACACAGTTGAGGCAATACAGATGTTAAGTAAAAGGAGTACACATGTGAGGCATGCTCTTCCATGCAATGCTCACAGTTCCCTCTGGGCATCCGTTTATTTCACAGATAATCCACCTGTCATGGATCTCTCACTGAGAACATGCATAATCTGTTAAAGCTGGTGGTCCCTTTGCTGGCGCATGCCATGTCATGCAAAGTCCATAATATCAGAGCACTTTTGCTGGGGGGGGGGGGGAAATGCAAGTCATGCTTGGCTAGTGCGCCATCTGTCATCAGCATGCAGTCTGTACTGGTGCAGACTGGTTGCACTCACTTGGGAAAATGCATGCCAGTTCCTGCAACATTCCACATTTGCACAAGTACAGATGGTATCCGTAGACTTACACAACATCTTTCTCAGGCCCTAAACAAAAGTCATGTTGTTGATTTGCTTGTATACCAAGGCTCAAACACTCAGCTAGCCTCCTTGTTTAATGAAGATGTTGCAGAGTTCAACATACTGACAAGCCTTGTAGCAGTTCTTAGAGAAAACCCTGTAAGATTCCAGAGTTGCTGTACTTTCTGGTGCCACCTGCATGCATTTCACAGATATGCAGAGATGGACTTTCGAATAAGTCCAGCTTCTATACTTAGGATCCAGCAATGTTACTCAGGTAGCTGATGCAGATCATGGTGCTCACCACATCCTCAGTGAATATAATGGCCACCTGTGATATGCATGGGATCCATACCTGGGCCCATTGTCACACACGCAAAGTGCTGCTAGAGCTGGATCAGGGCCTTTGAGTTGGGGTAGAAAGGGACACTTCCACTCTCATTATTTTAAGTGCCTGTGTCAAATACTGGTTAACAGCAATGCTGTGTGAGCATGTAAAGGGCCGTCAAGTCACAGCTGACTTATGCTTTCAAGGCAGGTGAGAAGCAGAGGTGGTTTGTCATTACCTTCCTCTGCAGAGTCTTCCTTGGTGGTTTCCCTTCTAAGTACTGATTGTGCTTAGCTTCTGAGATCTGCAAAGATTGGGCTATACCAAGCCATCTTAAAGTACTGCCCTTTCTTTGACTGTTTATTAGTAAAGCGGCACCTACTGTTCATCTTAAAAAGATAATGCAGAGATATATCTCTTACTTTTCAAGACTCCTGGAGTTACTGCCAGTTAGAACATGTCTCCCAGTCAGCACACTAGGGTGTGAGGAGTGTTACCTTTCACACTACACTTGATCTTAGCCAAAAGGCCGAGAAGCGATGAGTGTTACCTGTCAGTAGGAAGCTGCCTGAATCTCTGGTTCTTTTTAGCTGAAAGGGTGTGTGTGATTAAACACTTCAAATCTGTCAAAATGTTTAAAAGAATCTAGGACTCTGGGTCATGTCCTTCATTTGTGTTGCTTCCCTCCAGGCTGCTAGAATTCTCACAAGACTGAATAGGACAATGACCTTTCCCCCCTTTCTGCCCTCAATGTTCTATGCTCCTGGAAGGCAACAGTAATGCTCAATCTTTGTGAGGGTGTTTTGGTTCATTCCCTTTATTTTTTCTGCTGATTATAGAGCACCCCCTCCACCTTGTCTGGGGCTGGCCACGTTTCACTGATGTACTGCTAGGTATTGGACCACTTGTTTCACTATTAGTTTTAATAAAATAAGGGAGAGAACATGAATGCCACCCCACCCTGTAAGGCTTCCATCCAACCAAAACAAGCATGGGACTTTCTTTGCCAATTCAAAACACTGCAAAGTGGCCTTACGTGTTGAAGCAATGGAATAAGCAAAAGCCCTGAAAAGCCAGCAGCAGCCTTTTCCCCAGTTGGTCCCCCCCCACCCAACTTCAGCTGAGAATTTAGTGAGCAAATGAATTTGGTCTAGCTAGAGAAAAAGATTCTAAAGGGAGGACAATGGCTGTGTGAGTAAAAGCACGCTGCAAAGCTGTCTTGTTCAAAATGCCCAGCCAAAGAAATGCTGGATGAAACTGACAGCAGAATTGGTTGGTCAGAAAAAGACAGGAGAGGGTGAAGGTCGAGGCCCAGGACAGAGCTTCGTAAGCAGTTACCTGTTGCTCTTAGAGCAGAAATGGTTCGTGGGTAATTTAGGAAATGGGGGCTCTTTCCTCTTTCCAGATCTCTCATTTGGGTTGCAAAACAAAAAGAGAAAGAGGCCCAATAAGAGAGACACCCCAGAGTGTGAGGCCTGCAACTTAACACACAGATTTGTGCTTCGAAAACATTCCGCTCCTGAAAGAGGCAAATGGAACAACATTACTTTGGAAACTTTTGTGGCAGCCCCCTCAGCACACACTACACCATCATGTGCTGTTGTTTTTCTTTTCAGGCCAGGTTTCATCATAACTGTTGGCTGCAGGGCTGTGGGGTCATCTTGAGTCCTGGACCTCCTGGGAGCTGACCTGCAGCCCCATTCCCAGAGCAACACTTTCTTTCTTGACAAAAAGAGCAGCCTCTGAGGCACCCAGCAGTTTCCTTAGGCTTCCTCCACCCATCCCTAAGCATTGCTTGTCCAGGCAACAAACCATCTCTGCAACTCACCCAATGCTTTCCTTACTCCATGGCCTTTTTAGGCTTCCTCCCTTGTTCCTCAGCCCCACCACCAGCCCAGTTACCTACTCTTCACTCTCCTGCTTGGAGGACTCTCTCAGAATGAGCCCAGACTTGGTTATCAATCCATCTCCTCAGCAAAGCTCTCTCACTTGGAGGGCTCTCCCCAGAGCTGCTTCTAGCCCATCATAGGCCCTGATCCTCAGAAAGCTCCATAGCCTTTTAGAAAACAAAGGAAAATCTAACAAGCCTCCCAATCCACAGAAGAGGCACAGTAATTGGTCCTCTGATGAGCCTTTGGTTTTCAGAAGAAAACAACAATTCTGAGATGTTAGACAATGTTACAGCCATACTTACCACAATGTGGAGTGCCTGGCCATACCTCAAATTGTTCTACATTACCTCTAATGATGATGCTAGCAGTGGGATTGTTTCAGGGTGCAGTATGTTTTCCCATTCTGCACAAGAACCTCTATGGGAAGTTCAGCTCTCAAAGTTCTACACTTCCCACACATATTGAAAGTAAAAAATGCAGATATATAGCAAAACCCACTGAATTCAAACCATCCTGCTTGTCAATTGTCACATTTTTCTGCACAGGAAAAAAATCCAGAGCCTCATGCAAACATCCAATCCTCCCTGATCACTTTAAGAGGGGTGGCTCATCCCCCTTAGCACTTGGCTTGGAAAAGCCTGTTGGCTCCCGCCTTAGCAATGGGCAGGTATGAATAATTCATTTCAGGGGGGTCCTGCAGGCCTTTTCAAAAGGGCCTGTTTGTACACTTCCACCTTTTAGATAAAACACCTACAATGTTTTGAGAGTAAAACGTGAATGCAACAAAGGCAGATGTACAAGTGTGTTTCTTAGCATGGCCAGGAATGACCATGACTCCTTCAGTGGCAATATCATATTTACTGCTACGTTAAGGTATAAAACAGGCCTTCATTGCCAGTGATATCAAAGTCATCATTCCCTCCCAGTCTTTCTGTAATATTACTCAAAGACAGTTGGATTCTTGAATGAATAATGTCAAAGAGGGTTTTAATTCTCACACATGAGAAGCCTTCAAACTCTTTGGAATGCATCTGACAGCTTGGTCTAGTAGCAAAATAATGGTCAGATAATTCTTTTCATAGTGGTTCAGCTGTCTTGCTAGCTTTGGTGGCTGGAAGACATTATAATTAACCATTCCAGAGTTAGGAAATGAAGGGGACAAAAGATTCTCTCTTGCGTGGAATTTGACAGCAGGCAGAGGCTACTCAACTCTACCCCCCTTTGTAACCCATTACATCCCACCCACACAGGGCTCTTTTTGTAGAAAAAGCCCAGCAGGAACTCATTAGCATAATAGGCCACACCCAACAGCAGGAACTCATTAGCATATTGGGCCACACCCCTGACAGCACCGCTCATTAGCACATTAGGCCGCAGCCCAGTGTTGCCAAAAGTGTGGTCATCCAGCCACACCCACCCACCTTTTGCTTCTTATTCTGTTTACCTTTTTTGTTGTCAAAAACCAGGGCCTTTTTTGTAGCAGGGACTCCTTTGCATGTTAGGCCACACACGCCTACTGTTGCCAATCCTAATGAGTTTCTGCTGTTGGGTGTGGCCTATTATGCTAATGAGTTTCTGCTTGGCATGGCCAACTTGGGAGCCAGCCGGAACTCCGTTCCTGTGCGTTCCTGCCCAAAAATAGCCCTGCACCCACCCACCCCCGGTCTTCCCCAGTTCCAGCTGATCAGACATGCATTTGCGAGATCCCTGCTGGGAAATAGCTTCTCAGGCACATGGGTCTGATTTAGATTGGGACTGTGGTGTGCAGGGAGAAAGATCTCATATCTTTTCCACTCTGCCATTTTCCCAACTAGAAGCAGCTTTCAGGGTCTACTGTTTGTCCTACTGGGGGCTCCATTATTTACTGATGGGGCACACAAAGGTGTCCTCAATGGGGTAAATAGTGCCCCAGGGCCATTTCAGGGCTGGAAAACGGGATGGGGAAGGCATAACTCCCTTGTCTCCACACACTAATATCAGTTCAAATTGGCTTGGGAAATGAATTCCCCAAGGAGACTTTGCAAGTGTACATCTCACTGACAATCTTCTTGGCAGACCTGGACTTGACCTGAAGATGGTGTATTGTATTGTTAGGCTTGTAGATAATACACTGCTTCTGGGTTCATCCCTATCAAGCGCTCAGAGTTCTCAGCTGAAGATTACATTCTCAGGTACATGGTATCCCAAATCAGACCATGACTGTTTTGCATAAGAAGCCCCCCCCCCAAACTCCCAACCTGAAACTGTCCTGGGGAGTCATTATTTGCCCAAATGGGGAAGTGTACCTGAAAAGCCTGAAGCAGAGCTGACACACTTGCTAAAGCAGAGTAGGCAACTCCTGGTGGATGCTGAACAGCTGCATATCAGATCATTTTGCTCAGTATGCAGGGCCAGTCAGTTCTCTGCCCAAGCAATCAAGGTGCGCCTCTGAGGCACTGGCAACACCACTGGGGTCAGAGGTGTGGGAAAGACAATGGGCATGGTTTAGGTCATCACCGCTTCCAGGATTTGTACAGTTACCAGCCAGATCTGCATCTAGTATCTGGTCAAACCCCCCCCCCCCATCAGTTTGCTGGAATACCAACATCTTCACAGATCAATGTTGCCCCCCGCACTTGAACTTGAGTCAAAAAGGCTGCCCATCTCTAGTGACAAAGGAGGATGCAGAACATCTTCCTTTCTATCATGTCAGCATCCCTGATAGCCTGATCGGGGTAACATCAGCAAGGGGCTGGGACTGATGCAATAAATCCCCTCTTAATAGTATGTTGCCCTTACTGTAAACTCTGCAATGATTTGGATTTAATAAAGGCACTTCCACACTACAAACCTGCATATCTTTTAGACAAGGTGAACTGTTATTGCTTCCCACAAGAAACCCTAGGCTCTGCAACACAGGGCTCCAGATCCATGAAAGCCACATGTGCTTGCAAATTCCTCACTGGGAACTCAGTTCACAGACATGCAGGGCCTGATTCGGAACTGCGGCATGCAAGGAAAAGGGGCTTAAGCCCCTGTCTTCCATTTTCTCAACCTCAGATACCCCTGGGGAATGGTATTTTCTCCACTGGGGTTTCCACATCCTCTGATAGGGTTCATGAAAGTTTCACCAGTAGACAAATAGCATTCCCTAGTATGGTTGAGAGTGAGGAAAATGGTGCAGGGGAAGCATACGCATCTCCTCCCTGTCTTGCTCACCTGGGAACTGAGGGGGAACTTGCAAGCAGATGCCTGAATGATAGTCCTTATGGCAGAATCAGACCCGACCTAAGAATCATGTCGTTAGAGGGAAGTGCTGAGAAAATCTCCTCTCCCTAATTGTCAACCCCAGAACTCCAACTCAGGTTTCTCAAGGTAGACAGAACAGCTTTAAGTCCGCAGTACAGACATGCTCTGAAAGTATAGTCAGATATACAAACTTGCTTATCCCAACAGAACCAGAAGACTTATTCCACAAAGGCATGGTCTTGGACGTCTCTCTAATGCTTTTACAACTTGCCAGGATTTTTCTTTGCCGTTAAACCAATGATGGTAGTGATAGTATGGGTGAACTGGGCCATATATAGAGCTCAGTAGGAAACAACTTTATTCAGTAATACTGTCTTCTTCAAGCTGTGCATATCCGGCTAGGGACATTATGAGCTCCTCTTGATCACCGTATGAGAAGGTGTAGGGATTGAACCTGGTATGGTCTGCACGTAAAGCAGGTGGTGCGCCAGTGTGCTATGGCTCCTCCCTGGTTTCAACAGTGAGTTTACCAACAGCTTGCTGTCACCGCCCCCACCCACTTCCCAAGCAGCCCTCAGTGCCTGGTCCCTTCAGGCTTTGTATATCTGCCAACTAGCAGAGGTCATGAACTGAACAGGATGACTGCTCTGTAAAGACCACAGAGGCAACAGGCATACACAAATTGCGTGTGCATTTATTTATCAGGACTAGGCCAGGACTCCAAGCCTGCAATAGGCATTCTTTGCTTGGAGTCCCTGTAGTCAGTGGCTGGAACTTGATCCTGATGAGCAGACAGACCAGGCAAGACCACAATGAAGTGGGTATATGTGGCCTGGCAAAACCCTGAGGCTTCGTGAAGCCTGCCAATCACAGGGACTGATGCTGCACCCTCCGCCCCATTCCCTTCTGTTTCTGGAGTGGTAGGGTTACCAGATGTCCTCTTTTTAGAGGGCATGTCCTCTTTTGGCCTCTTTTTAAAAAAAAAACTGATGAAAATGTCCTCTTGGGGTTGGAAGATTGGGAATATTCCTCGTTAGTAGCAATCATCACAGCTTAAATCTGAGGGGATATTTAAAATGAGATTTGTCATAGTGATCACTTGGTTGAAGTAGCGAGGTGGGAAATATGTCCTCTCTTTTGCTTTTCAAAATATGGTAATCCTAGGAGAGAACAATGATGCCTGAGCATGGACAGTCCCCAGTTGTTCTCTGGGGCCAAACGGCATGCTACGTTAACAGGTCCAAAGAACCTGTCCCAAATCACTTTCCCTGAAGCAACACAGCAGCTGCAGGGAACTGCTTTTAAAAGCACAGCAGACATCCAATTTGGCCCACCATCAATCCGATTTGGCTTTTGCCTCCTTGAGCCAAAATGGACCTGGGGTTGCCCCATTTTGGAGCTGCACGTGCATGGAATACTGCATATTTGGTCCTGGGTCATACCCGGGAGTCCCCCTCAGCGGGTGCCTCCTAAACCAATCACAGGGAATGCTCATTTCAACCATCCAGCCATAGAAGGGGAAACCCGTTAAAAATATAGGAACAAATATAGAGGAGTGTGCCAAGACTTTGTTGCCAGAGACTTTGTATAGTGGAGAAAAGCAGACAATCTTCTGGTATCAGGGTGCCAGACTCTGAATCTACTGGGGTGGGGGAGAAGAGTCAAAGATTTCTGGCCCCCACATTTGTCAGCATGCTCCATGATGAATGGATAGGACTACCCCATTGTTCCTCCCCCTCCCACCCCTGATTCATGCACCTGTAAAGAGCTACTATAGACTGTACAACGCGGCAGTGTTAGTAACCGCAACAGAGTTAGTTTGCACTGTATTCTGTCTCAGAGAGAATTCAATGGATGTGAAACTTATTGGCATTCTCTCAGCTGCAGCCCCATGCAAGCAAGCAGAAAGCAAAAAAGTAGATATATACATCTATATATAGAGAGAGCTAGCTAGATATATATATAGATATATTTCAAATGGAAGAGAAACGGGCCAGCAGGCAACTAAACTCACCCTTTTGTACCGCCTATGGTCCACCAGAGGGCTTCAGATGAGCAAAACAATAGCAAAGAGCTATTAGCACACAGACCATAACAAGAGACCGTATTCAACAGGTTCAGATCAACAGAGGCAGAGGACTTGTCTGGCTGGGAGAAGGGCAGGCAGGTGAGGTGGGGAGAGAAGGAATCAAGCTTCATGACCCTTTCTTTTGCAGACACCAAGGTGTCCATGTGCATTGTCCAGTAGCAATATATGGCAATGAGCAAAATTTAAGTCCAAACTACTGGGCTGGGGGAAGAGATATCACTTTGAGGTGACCCCTAAAACCAAAACAGGGTTAGCTAGGATAACAGTTATGTGAAAAGTACAGATTAGAATCTGTGTAGGAAAAATGTGATCCTTTATGGCCCCAGTTAGAAACTGAGTTAAGTAACTACAAACAGTGGTCAAAATCTGAAGTCTCTGTTGCCCCGCTTCAACAAAACTGTTAGCCTCACAAGGGACCTCCAAGTTCCAATTAAGCATGTATATGTTTTTATTTCACCCTTCCTCCATTTAGGATGGCATACATGGCTTTCTCCATACCCCACTTTGTCCTCACAACAACCCTGTGAGGTAGGCCAGGCTGAGAGAGAATAACTAAATCAAGGTCAACTGGTGTGCTTCATAGCTAGGTGGGAATTTTAATCCATAGTGCCCAGGTCCTAGTCCAACAACATAATCACTATACAACTTAATGCAGGAGACAGTCCCAAATGGCCATGTTCTGCTTTTCCAAAAGATGCCCTCCCATTTTCTCTTTCCCTTCTCTTTCCCAACATGCTCCAGTGGACTCTTGAGTTCTTTTGTGCAAAGATAAAGTAATACATTACATGTTGGGGGCTGCAAGGTACTGTGGGGAAGATAAGTAATTGGAACCCCCCCCCCCAATTTCCTGTTCTAGGGTAGCATGTGCTGTTAGGAGTTCAAGACAAATATTTCATTTTCTCTCTCTTTTTTTTTTAAATGAGGCTTAATGACCCTCAACAATGTACATTTTAGAGGGCAATGAATGATCATGCTCAGTCTTTATCAGGGTATTTGGGAGGGGGGTGTCTCACATTTCCTGCTTATCCGGAAATTCTACACTGTGTGGTAACCCATACCTTGCTTGTAGGTGGCCTCGTTCTGCTGCCCTACAGATAGTTGCACATAAGCAGCAGGGCTGCTATTATGCACGCGCGCTGATGATGATTTAGTGTCTAAAACACACAGGATCCTAGGGGACATCAGCCATTAAATCTAAGGGTCACCCAAAATGGCAAAGGTGCAACCCAGCAGTAAACTGGCTTTATACTAAATTAAGAACGGAAACAAAATACAATCTTCACAAAGCAGGGGGCTGCCCTGAGCCTGAAAGGCCACCCCTTCTCTTTGCCCACACTATCGGTTGTCCTTACTATGATTTGTTTCTTCTTCTACTGTGCATATGCGTGTGGAGGAAGGGAGAATGGAGTAAAACGCCAAAGATCTGGTACAGAGACATCAGTGGCGCCCTGTAAGCTACAAAGTCCACAAACATGTAGATCTTGGACTTCCAAAAAGCTTCTGGTCAAAGCCCCTCACAAGGGTTCCTGAGTAACCTTAGCAGTTATAGAAAGAGATGATGGGTTTGCTTGTAGATCAATAACTAGTTAAAAGAGCAGGAATCAGAGGGTGGGAAAAAGTGTCCGCTTTCACCTTCCAATTCTACCAAAGCCTGTTCAGAGGCTGCTGACACAGAACAGAGCTGAGATGCTTGCCTTTCTGACCTGCCTCTTACAAATACCTGGTTGACCTCTGCTGAAAACAGAATGCTGGACTAGATGGATCCCCTTTGCTCTGATCCAGCAGGGCTCTTTTTATGTTTCCCACACAGTAACCAGGATGAGAAACTGCACCCCTTCCCTCTCCCCTTCCCCCTTTTGGAAGGAATTTCTTGTCTGTCTTCTTAAAGCTAACCATGATTTCATATCTTGTGTACACCTAAGCAAGTCATGGTTGATGCAGATCAGGCTCCTTTGTAATCAGGGTTTGCAACCCACAGCTGCCTATCTCTGATTTACCAAGGAATCGTAGTATGTGCCTGGGTAGCTGACTTAATTGATTTAGATAACCACACAACTCATTTAAATTGTGATTTCAAATTTAAGTTTCCCATTTGGTAAATGTGTACATTACCTAAACAAATGTGCTTAGTGATAACAATTAAAACATATTAGCTTGCAGATGAACAGAGCTGTTATAATGCTTAAGAGCATCATCCAGTTTCCCCCCCCTCATGCAATCAGAATGGCTTTCACGCTACACTTGGCAAGTCGTGGGTTGTAAAAAGAGCCAGCACAGTGTCTGTACCCATGCCACAGAAACGTCATAAACCAACGTCAAAGAAACCACATACCCCTTCTACATGCACACAAACCAAGCCATCCTGATCAAAAAGGAGGGCTCATTCACTGGGATTTATAGTTCAAAAGTCGTTTTTATATATGGGAACGGATCTGATGCTAAAGTATTATGTTATTATGTTATAACTGTTGATGTATGTTGAAAACTTTGTTAGTGATTAACTGGCTGGCTTGTAATTCTGGATTCTCAGGACCTTTGCATACTGTTTTGCAGTTATTGTATATGTTATAAGTTATACTTGATCTTAGTAAACATTTTAAAAACAAAAGAAAAGAAAAGAATAGACAAGCGTGGGGCTGGGGGAGCACAACCACCATTTTATGTCCATGTTCAGCGCTGACCTTGGGGCAGCTGTGGTGCCCCCAAGTTCCAAAGAGTTTAGTGTTTGCAACCCTGAATAACTCTTACTGTCAGCACATGGCCAGAAACTGGTACTTCTCAGGGGATGGGATTAACAACTGAGAACAAACTCCTGATCCTCAGCCAGCTTCTGGACTCAGGAAGCTGGTGCAATGACAGCATTTTCCAAAATACCTGCCTAACAGGAAGCTGGCCTCTGCAATTACACTCAGCCCCCAAGGGCAACTTCATCGGTTTTCTTTCTGTGCAGTTTCTGATGACCCCAAGGGAGCCTCCAGTTGTATGTGGGAAAAGGGCTTGCAAGGCTCAGGCATGCTGAATCAGCACGCCAGCTACCTGCAAGGTATGGGAGGTCTGCATAGATCTAAGGGCTGTGGTCTCCTGTTCAGATTAGGGAGTGCCGCTAGCTCAGCATGAGCCAGCAACTCTAATGCTAAAATGCCAAGAAAGCTGAAGAGGAACCTTCCCTTCCCTAATTCTCCTGTTGAGCACTGCAGGGGATTTTAAGCCTTTGCCCCTTTTGTCATGCTATATCGTATCCATGCTCCATCGTCAGACTTCGACTTTCTTCTGCTGCAGCTTTCTCCATTGAGGCTTGGCACTCTCCTCAGAAATGTCTCACATTGTGCTTAATGAGGTGAGAGAATTCCAGCTTACATTTGTGAGTGTGGGTGTATGATGGGGCGGGAAAGCTGAGCATTTGTGAATGCTACCCCGTGTAAAATTCTCTCTTAATCACATTTTATGCCACCCTTCAAGGAGTAAAGTAAAGGTAAAGGCTCCCTTGCTCGAAAGCCAGTCGAATCCGACTCTAGGGTTGCGGTGCTCATCTCCGTTTCAAAACCGAAGAGCCAGCGCTGTCCGAAGACATTTCCGTGGTCATGTGGCCGGCATGACTAAACACCAAGGCGCACGGAACGCTGTTACCTTCCCATCGAAGTGGTACCTATTTATCTACTTGCAATTTCTTGCTTTCGAACTGCTAGGTTGGCAGGAGCTGGAACTAGAGACGGGAGCTCTCCCCGTCTTGCGGCACCCGGGTCTTGAACTGCTGCACTACTGACCTTCCACAGCCTGCAGTTCAGCGTCTTAACCACTTGAGCCACCGCTTATATGGGCCTTCCTTCCATATTTTACCTTTAAAACAATCCTGTGAGGTAGCTTAAGCTGAGAGAATTGATTAGGCCAAGGACACTTAGTGAGCTCCATGAAACATTGCAGCAAACTACAAAACGACCCAAAGCCTGTCTCTGGAGTTCTGGTCTGTTGTTTTGCTTGGGAGAAGTGAAATAAGATGTGTGGCTGAGTCTGAAAGCACATTCTCTATCCAGGAAACACACAAATATTTTTTATTTCCTGGAATGATCACTGGGGAAAAAATTCTGCCAAGTTTCTAGCATGTCACAGAAAAGCTGGGTGCAGGTACATACTGGCTAGTCTCCGTGCCATCTGAAAACAACTGTCCACGGGTACAGCTGATTGTTCAACAGCTGATAGCCCACATGAAGCACAAAAGAAGGTGGATCCAATGATCCACTTGAACCTAAAGCGTTATAATAAGGCAAGTTTTGAACTTAGGCTAACGCTGTGGGCAAATTGTGCGAAGGCTATGTTCTCTCTTGTCTGTTAAAGTCTGGTGCTGAAGGGCTTCCTAAGGCCAGTGCTCATGAGAAGGCAGCAAGTGATGTCCTTGCTCTGCCTGCTCCTACCAAAGCCAAAACCTGGCCATTGGTGTGCTGCGCCTGGGAATTTTGCTCCTTAGCCGAGCTCTTTGCAGCCACACCCAAATGACCCCTACTGCTTTCAGATTTCTAAGCGAAATCCATCACGAGGAGTTTCCCCAAGCACCATGGGAAGCTTGACTGGAGGCAATGCCTTACCTGTGGCGACAGCGTCGTAAAAACCGCATGATTTTGCGAGCAGCTTGGTCCTGCTTCTTGGTGAGCAAGCTGCTTCTATGGAAGGAAAAAGAGGAAAAGGAGAGTGTCAGGGTCACAGAGGCAGCAACAAGGGGACCCTTGAGGGTCTATCTAACAAAGATGTAAAATTCCTGGACATTTTAAAGCCACAAAAAAGCTGTTTTTTTGGGGGGGGGCAACTTTTGGGGAAAAATTTGAAATATATGCAACTAGGAATAAGGCCCATTGTGGAAATAAATACAATGAGATCTAGAAAGAGGCTCTGGGCGGGTGCCCCGGCCTTGGACACTCAGTGTCAATTTGCTGTGGTGACCTCAGCAGGGTATAATGACACCGAGTTCACCATTTTCTCCAGAGGAACTGATCTCTGCTACCTGAAGAATAGTTGTAATTTTGAGAGATCTCCAGCCCTCACCTGGAGATAGGCAACAATGGTTCCCCAGGAGGGAATGGCTGGTTTGGAGGGTGGAGTCTATGGTATTGTACCTGACTGAGGTCCCACCCCTCCTCAAACCCCACCCTCTCCAGGCTCCATCCCTCAAATATCCATGAAGTTTCCTACTTGGAGTTTGCAACCCTATCTCCTTCCCAGCCAACCATCAACCTACCTTGATCTGCCCCTTTGACTTCAGCTTTCCATCTCCTCCCCCCTCCCTCCTGGAGAGCAGTTGTAATTCTGAGTGATCTCCAGCCCCCACCTGGAGATTGGCAACAATGGTTCCCCAGGAGGGACTGGCTGGTTTGGAGGCTGGAGTCTATGGCGTTGTACCTGTCTGAGGTCCCACCCCTCCTGAAACCTCACCCTCTCCAGGCTCCATCCCTCAAATATCCAGGAATTTCCTACCTGGAGTTGGCAACCCTATCTCCTTCCCAGCCAATCAACCTACCTTTATTTTCCCCTCACTCTTCAGCTTTCCACCCCTCCCCACCTGCACCGTCTACCATGCTCTAAAGCCCTTACTGCTATGTCACATTGGCTGTCACACAGGGGCTATCTCAGCAGGATATAAGGACACAGAGTCCACCATTTTCTCCGGGGGAACTGATCTCTGCTTTCTGGAAAGCAGTTGTAATTCTGAGTGATCTTCAGCCCTCACCTGGAGATTGGCAGCAATGGTTTCCCCCAACAGGCACTAAGGGGAAATGTATTTTACCTCAGAATACATTTTACCTCAGAACAGCAACAGCAAACTGTTTAGAATGTTAGAGGCAAAGGCCAATGAGGCCACATATGCAAACGACCTCTGTGTTCCGAGGCAAAGGCCAATCAGGCCACATATGCAAATTACCTCTGTGTTCTGACTGGCTATGGGGGGGAGAGGAACAGCAAACTGTTTAGAATGTTGGAGGCAGGACTCAGGCAATGCAGCCTGTGGATAGGGAGACCCTCTGAGTGACAGATCAGGGAGCCAACTGATTTGAGAGTGTGTTGGAATGTTCAGGGGAGTCCATGACCAAAACAGAATTATATACAGAGGTCATTTCGGGGGGGAACGCAGTTCCCCCGGGTGAGGTACGGGGGGCGGGGCACATGACGAAGCCCCGCCCCCTGCTTCCGGCCGCCCCGCTTCCGGCCCTTATTCAAAGTGGAGCTGCAAGGCCGGCGGCAGCCGCCGGGACCGTTGGGGGCGGGGTGTGTGGCCTTATGACACACTTCCAGTGATGTCAGGGGGTGTGGCCTTATGACACACTTCCGGTGATGTCAGGGGGTGTGGCATATGCTAATGAGTTATGCTAATGAGTTCCCCTAGCTCTTTTTCTACGAAATGACCCCTGATTATATATAAGGAGAGATACTTTCTTATGAAGCCTAAATTTATTTTACTGCTTTTGCAACATAAAACACACAATTTATGTCTTAGTAAGCATACCAAATTGTGCTATTTGGTATCTTTATGGAATTCAGAAATATAAATGCCCTTGTTTTCTACAAACAAAATTGTGAACATGCCCAAAAAGTGGCAGAAAGAGAGAGCACACTGCAAACTGCTGCATTTTGTGCTACATGTATCGCGGGGAGGGCAGCCTAGAAATCGAATGATAAATAAAATAAAGTATCTTAGTTTTTGCTGTCTGGGATGTGTGTGAGGGGGAGAGGAAGATAAAAAAACATTTGTAGAAAATAAAACAGTGCATTATTTGGACAGAAACATATAGTCATAATAAGGAATAGCGTGGGGGTGGACTGAGGAAGCAAAATAGCCCAGGGAAAAGGGCCATGCCCAATGCTCCCTCTAAGCTGTGGAGTCCTGTGAGCAAAAATTCCACTTTGTGAGCTACTGGCATTAAAGTTGTGAGTGAGTGATTTGGCTGCTGCATCAATTAGTTTGCTCTGGAGCCATTCTTCCTGAGCTAAGACAAAAACGTGTGAGCCAGAGGCTAAAAAACTGTGAGCTAGCTCACACTAACTCAGCTTAGAGGGGATCACTGGCCATGTCCCCTCCCCTTGCAACCCCCCCATGGAGGAAGGACTGGGTGGCGGTAGCAGGCAACTTCGCAGGGTCAGAACTGCCCCACTACTTGCCTGGGGCTTGGGTGACCCTAGCAGAGGAAGGCACTGCCGCCAGCCATCTGCCCGGCTTCCCCTAGTGAACCCACCTGAGCTTTTGCTGCACGAGGGCAGCCGTCCTGCGACTTTGCCTCCTCTTGCCACATTCTTTGTAGCTGCGGTAGAACTGCTGGATCAGCACAGCGGCTCGCCGGCTCTGCTGGAATTTCTTCTGCTCATAATAGCTTCGGAATTTGCTCTGGATCAGGATGGCAGCTTGAATCATCTTCTTATAAAGTGCATACTGCAAGAGTAGACAGGGAGAGGGAGGCTGAAGTCCTCTGGAAGTTAGTGGGGTTCCCAAAGGCAAGACACAGAACTGCTATCTCAACCAGAGACCAAATGGTGCTTGCGGGGCTGGGTGGTGGTGGTTCTCATTGCAAGAATGGTGGAAGGAGTTATTCCTTTGGGGATCAGAAAAATAGGGGAAAGAGGGAAATGAAGCATTATTCCTCCCCTTTCCACTGCTTCCTCTTGTGCTTTGTCATCTTGGAAAATTCAGAGGGAGCTGATTCATATATGCATGTCCACCACTGGCACAGTTGAAGAGATAGGCAAGTTCTGCCTCAGGCTTTAGATCTAATGTAAGTCATTGCTTGATGTTCGGGTTCCCAAGTAATGAGCCTGGATGTGAGAATCAATTCATAGCTTCCCAAAGGTTAAACTGGTCAAGTTTGGAAATTGGAGGGGATAGGGCAGAGGGATATTTTTGCCAACTAAGTTAAAATATTAACCAAATTTCACTGTGATTGTTGAAGCGGATTCTGGTTGCTGGCAGAGAAGTGGTCTCGTTTAAGAATCTGAAGAGGCCTGTTTTAAAAATCTCTTAAGCATAAATACTTTACAAAACTATACTTGAATAATAAAATCCCACAAGAGGGACTTTACATGAAAACTGCATCATAAAAGAAGCCTGCAATGTGTGAAAACAACTGCCCAATCTGCAAATCTGTTAAACCAAAGGATCTGGGTGCTCTACAAATTACAGAACAGACTGAATGACACACAGCTTGGGGTGTGTTTAGGTGGTCCTTGGAAGGAGCAGGGGACTGTGCACACCGGGGACTAAGTGACCTTGTGAGTTCTGCCAAGAAGTTGGGAACAGACAGAGTGTGTTTATTTATTTATTTCACTGTATTTATACCCTGCCCTTCCCGTGAATGGGCTCAGGGCGGTGTTGTGTGTAAGATGCACCTCAAACGTCCCAATGGAAAGGGTGAGAAAATGTGAATAGAGAGGTGGAAGGGCCAAGAGTGGGAAAGACTGGGGATAAATCCCCAGAGCCCCAGTGCCCAGGAAAAGGAAATTAACAGTAGCTGGAGGGTGACAATGGCAGCACCCCAGGCTGACAGCAATCCCTGTCCCCCCTGGACCTAGGCCAGAGGACAATTTCCCTTTGTGGGACATAGTGACACAGTCTCCTCCTGGGCCCCACCATCTCCGTTCCAGTGAAGAGGCCAAAGCCCCAACTGGGAGTTTCACACTCTGTATCTACCCAGGAAATAAGGGTTGCCTTGCAGAAGCAACCAGTGGCTGATCTGTTCCTGCCACCTCCACAGTTGCCAATAGCCAGGAAGCTCATGAGGATGGCAAGATGCATCCCTCCCTTTCAGTGCCATGATCTAGTCCATCAACCAGGAACATGTCCAGAGGAATGACATGTCTGGTAGACTCTCCAAGGAGAGCTGATGTCTTTGACTGAGGCAAGGACACCCACACCACCCTTCAAAGCAACTTCTTTTCCCATTATAAAATGTGTAAGAGACAAAAAGGAGGGCAACGGTATATGTTGCATGCATTCCCCTTGGTTAAAACGAGAAACTGGGTCTTCACATGGGGAGTAGCTTAGTGGACTCAGAGGACATAAGAAGTTGCAACCCCTTTCTTTGGCCTTCCTTACCCAGTTCTATGAACCAATTAACCAGCTGGGAGTTCAGGCTGTAGTCAAAGTGAGTAGGGGGCTGGCTCCTTTGGGAATATCTAAGCCACTTGTCTGAATGGCCAGCTTTTGTTTTAAAAGAAAGCTTCTAGCTGTCGTACTAATGGAGACATAAAGAAAAACTGAGGCGCAGGATTCTACCCAACTGCTCAGTAAGAAGACAACTGGCTCCCACCATCTAGGCCAAGGCACTGGACTGAGTGGCAGGCACTCGGGGACGTTAAATAACATTTACAATTTAATTACATTAAACATAGTAGACCAGTTGTATTTTTGATGCCCCTCCTCAGAAAAACTCCTGGCTCCAAGCCTATGCGCCACAGACTAGTTTCCTGCCTACAGTACAGGCTTGCATTCATAACAAAGCAGTATTGCTGGCATGCACTGTCCAGTGCAGGATGCAATGGTCACGGGTTTTTTTTCTAGCAAAACAAGGATTTCCCTGGTTTGCAATGAATGTGAGAAGCTGGTGAGCTCAAATGGTGTGTATTGCATTCATTACCTTCAAGGCTATCCAAGTAAGCTTGGGAGGAGAAACAGAAAATACAAGATTAACGTTCAACTGAAGTGGTCATCAGCAAAGAGCGAGGGAAGGCTGGCTGCTCCCCTAGCAGGTCTCAGGTTGACTCTCAAGGGAATTTTCCGAGAGCAATCATACACTACGGATGGCCTGCTGAACTCAATGTTGCCAACAACTGCAACTTGCAGGTGGTGGTGGGGATTCCCTGCTGGGAACTGAACAGTTGGCAGCAGCCCTCGGACCTCAGTGCTCCACCTTCCAGTCTTTGAGAGGTTGGTGCTTCAAATGGCACAGAGACGTTCTGTCGCTGTGCCTAGAGAAGCTCCTTCTCCTGTGACTGAAAACTCAGCCTAAAACCTGGATTCCAGGCATAGGAAAAGGAATGCATATTGCACTGGACATATGGTCTGCTGGATTTGAAGTTGGCATACGTGGAAACAATCACCTCCATTGACTCACACTTCAGAGGAGTTCAGACCAAGCCCAGTTTTTACATTCATAATGACATTTGGCAAGCAACTGCTGTTCACTAAACAAGAAGCTCATAAGAATACCAGAGGCTCTCCCTTGTTACATGTAAACACAGAGCCCCTCAAGGCAATCTGTGTCCTCTGAGAAAGGCTTCCTTCTCCCCAGCCGTCCAGTTGCCAACTCAGATATGTATATATGAGTATGTGTCAGAGAGAGATGGGGTATAAACATTTGCTATACTGAAATCCTGGCTTTCAGCCCATCGGCAGTCCTTGCAGTGCCTCACAATTAAAGCCAAACGACAACAACATAACCTGTAGCAACAGATCTTGCAAATGAACCAGAGGCCCATGGTTTCCCATCCATTCCACGGGGTGGTCCTTTGGCAAAACTAGTTGCTGACTTGAGGCTAGGATACAAAGTATCACACAGGGCATTTCGGAGCTCCCTCCCTTTCTAAGCGAAGCTCCTATCATACAAGCTGCTACCAAAAACATAGGGGGCCTTGTGGAGTGGTCTCCAACAGAGCAATAGGAACAGCAGTTGGAAGAGGAAGCCAAGAGACTCTGGTGACTACATCCGAGCGTTCGTTCACACAGTGGTCTTGAGTAAATATGGAGTTACACCACAACATCTGTGATCCTGTCCAAGCACACCAAAGTACAGGAGTCTATAGGGTAACAACTCATCACATGGTAGAACTGTTCCCAAAGTGTACCATTTCAGACTGCAGGCGGAAGATGGCATGATGGAATGTTTCCTCCTCTGGAAAAAAAATCCTTATACCCAGAAATTTACCATGTCAGTGAGAAGGCTAGGCCAGAATCCTCCTCTTCGATGTCTAGTCACCCAGCAGTGCAATCCACTGCAGAGTTACTGCAGTCTAAACCCAATGAATTGACTTAGATTACAGTAACTACATAGGATTGCATTGCAAGAGTAGGGAATTGCCTTGTGTGGGGAAGGATTAAGTCACGTGATTGTGTCCTCTGCCTGCAGCTTAAAGTGGAGCCATCGAGGAACAGGTGTCTACTCTAGGCTGCTTTGGACATCCTACAGAAGAGCTGTGCTGCTTCTCCTCTTCTTCTGAGCTCACAGGAAGGGAGAGGACTCAGAAGCAGGAGAGGAGCATGAGCTCGGTTGCTGCAGCTCTCTGTTGAAACCAACCAACCAACCCAAAGAACCGACAGTTTAATTCCTTCAAGACTGAATGGAGTAAAGAACCAGAACTGCCACATGATCCTGACCCACAATGGCTACCCACCGTTTCCACAACACAGCAATCCTCAGCTCACCTGCTTGTATTTTCGGTAACAACGCTGAATGACAGCAGCGGCCACTTCCTGTTGTTCCCGGAGGGGCCGTCCCTGCAAGGGGGGGGAGAAATATATAATGGAGAGAATTGTAGACTGGTGTCAGCTATTGGGCAAATTAAAAATTAACAAATCTCTGGATCTGAAAGTTGTACATGTGCGTTCCTATGGAAGTAAAATGCGAAATTGCTGACCTTCTAACACAAATGTTGCTAAAATTGGTCTTCCTTCCCGAGACAAAACATAAGGCCAATTTTAAAAAGGGATCCAGGGGAGATAGAGAATATTATAGGACAGTTAATCTAACATTTTTTCCAGGTAGAATGACAGAAGCTGTTATTAAGGTTAGAATTATTAAGTGCATACAAGAAGTCATCCAACAGAGTTACAATCAGCATAGCTTCTCTAAAAGGGGAGTCCGGTCTCACAAACCTTTTCGAGTTTTTTTGAGATGATTACCAAGTATGGTAGATATAAAACTTGGACTTCCAAAAAGCTCCTGACAAAAACCCTCACTAAAGGCTCCCGAGTCATGAGATAAGAGGATGGGTCCCCTCACGAATTAGAAACTGGTTAAGAAGCAGGAAACAGAGCGTAGGAATAAATGGACAGCTCTTGCAATGTAGAGAACAGTGAGGTCCTAGAGGGAACTGTACCGGGACCAGTGCTATTTGATTTGTTCATAAATTATCTGGAATTGGGTGTGAGCAACAAAGTGGCCAAGTTTGGCAATGATTCCAAATTATTTACGATTGTGAAAATGAAAGCTCCTGAAGGGTCTTTCTAAACTGGACGAGTGGGTGATGAGGATGGCATCTGTGGTTCAATCTAAGTGTAAAATTATGAGCATTGGGACAAATATTCCTTACTTTACATATACACTGATGAGTTATTCTTGCTCCTGACCTTATATTTCCTGAAGACTGTCTGGACAAGTTTGGCAGCTTCGTAGAGTTCTCTCTGCTCGTGGTCGGAGAGGGTCAGCTGCGCAAACTCATTTTCAACTTTCTCACTGGTGGAGGCGCTTAGGAATTCCGACCAGTCAGTCGCTGAAGGGAGGCTGGGCTTTTCAAAAGCCATTTCATTGACTGGTGAGCTTGCAGGGCTCAGGCTGGTGTTGGAAGAAGGGGTCAGGGTTCCACTATACAGACTTCTGCAATGAGAACAATGATAGGGAAGTGTCAAAAGGATCGGCCACTTCATGTTCTGTGAGAGAACTGGCCAAAGACAGACATGGCCTTCTAAGAGCAATCAAGACAGGTGCTTCTCCCACAGTGAGAATCCAACATGTTACCAGCAATTGTAGCACTGAGTTGGCAAGATGCTTTATATACAGGTATTGATAAATTTTCATTTATAAATATATGCCAAGTTTCTTATGTATACTCATCTGTCAACTTTCCAAAATGATTCAGAAATATTTTAAGAACTGCAAAACTGTTGTGCTCTGTATGTCGGTGATGGCACAAGCACTAGCCAGTAGGTGCCCACTGTTGGGGAATTGGGGCTTCAACTGAGCCTCAGTCCCTTGCAAACTCATTTTGTATTAAATTCTATGGCTGAATCTTTGGTTCTTTCCCACAAAGCTTTGTGGTTAGCTGCTCCCAAGCAAGCACTGTCAAAGACAATGCACTCTGTCCTAAAAAGAATGGTTTACATTTTCAGAGACCAGGGTAACAGCCTAAACATCTAGATATGGGTGTGTGTCTCCATTGTTCCTCCTTGACACATATAGGTTGTCTGGAATATCCTGAACCAATGATAATATACAGATTGTCACTTGAAGATAGTTGGGGTTTCTTGCCCTCACAGAAATTTTTTTAACTACAGCCAAAGTTCATGCCTTACTGTGTGAAAGGGGCTGGGGTTTGTCAAGTATGTCAAATGGTCATCACAGAGCTGACTGATTGTTACATTAGGTCTTATGATGGAAAAGGGTTATCTGGGTTTACTTTTGTTCCTTGTTGTTCTGGCCAACCACCTTCCGTTACAGGTCGTGACAGAGCAACCAAGGATATCCTTTATAGAACTACAGTGCTCTATATTTAAGAACTGAATTAAAAATTATGAGTCGGTTTTGTATGCTGCATACCAGATTCTTATATGGTTGGAAGGTTTTACATTTTGGGTTTGAAGTTCAATAAATAAGAGGTTCTTTCTTGTCTCTCTTTCTTGATGCAGTTGGGATCCCTGCCAGTTTCTCTCCCTCCCCAATGAATACAGTGGGGATGGGAATCCATGAAAAGGTTCCTGCACTGCTAATTTCCCCTGCACCCACCACAGTATATATTAAACCCAACTAAAATCTGGAGAAGCATTTTTTCTCAGCCCTTGCCCCAGGAGAAACAGAAGCCCAATCTGTCCTGGTGGATGAACATCACAGACCTTATTTGAGCAGCACTTGGTAAATGGTCAACATCCGCAAGGTAACTGGCCAGCCAGCTCATTGAGGTGCTAATGGCAGCACTCTCCGTCCTCTCTACCAGTGGCGTCTCCATTGGCACAAAGTTTTCCCGCTTGATCCTCTCTGGTGTGGCTTCAATGATGTGCTCTGCTAGAGTCATCATGGTCACCTGCAAAGAAGGGAGACAGAAGTTAGGGGATGACTCTCTCTCCCCCACAAAAGGAATTCTACAGCCACTGCAGCATTCCTGACCGAGATCTGGCTCCCATCAAGGTGAGGCAAAGCCACAGGTGTCATGAGGCAAAGATGATTTGTCTCCAGCAAACAAGACCAATCTAGAAGCCTTTAGAGGTGTCACTGAGTAACACATGTCCACTCCGGCCTATATAAGGCCTCCTTGTTGTCGTTCCCTCCCTCCTTTGGACAGAGTTGAGTGGTGGTGCACAGGCTGAATCTTGTTTCCTCTTCAAGATCCACTGTGGCAAAACATCTTACGGGGAACTAGAACGCACTTGCTCAGTCCACCACAATTTTATGTGCCCATGTAAAGTGTAGGATTTTACTGAACTTAGAAATGTTTTCATTAAGTTATTTCTAATGAGAACCAATGTTCCCTCTAAGCTGTGGAGTTTTGTGAACAAAAATTCTACTTTGTCAGCTGCTGGCATTAAAGCTGTGAGCGAGCAATTTGGCTACTGCATAAATTAGGTTGCTCTGGAGCCCTCCTTCCTGAGCTAAGACAAAAATGTATGAGCTGGAGGCTAAAAAACTGTGAGCTAGCTCACACTAACTCAGCTTAGAGGGAACACTGAGGAGAACAGGTTGAAATTCTAATTAAAATTATACATAATTTCCCACCAAAGTGTAAAAAACCTGACTTGTGAGGGGTCCCCTCCCCCATCAAGATTAACACAGTTGGGGAGTCACTATTCTCTTGGAAATATGTGAAAGAGAAAACACTGTCTTCTATTAAAGTATAGTGAACAATTTATTAGCAGTGTTCATTGGGTGTACACTCTTAAGCCATATTTAGAAATCCTATCAAAATCCGTAAGACTTACTTCTGAGAAGGACTATACTAAAAGTTTCAGTGCTCATGGATCAGGCCTGGTGAGTATGGGGGGGGGGAGTTAAAATAGTTAACGCTTATTCTTTACTGAATTAACTAAATCAATAGCTGGAATTAACAGTTCTTTAAACTGGTAGAAAACTCTTCTTTGAACTAAGAGCAAAGCAGTCCTTCAGTTTTAAGAGAGATTAAAAAGCAGTGTTTTTCAACCACTATAAGTTCAGCTCAATTTGGCCCCAAAGTGCTGGTTGCCACACATACAGGCTCCTTCAAATTATTCCATGTGGCTAATCCCACCACATGGCGAGCTGTCTGTGTGCAGCATATAGACAAAAAGGTAAGATTCCAAAAATAAAACTAGAGGAAAAATTCCTTGATTTGTGCAGTTGAAACATCTTACAGGAAGCCATTTACAAAGCTTGACTCCCATGCACTGACGGAGACGGTGCATGTCACACTACCCCTACCCAGTTCCTGTCCCAGGCACTTACTTGCAGATCGTCCATGTGGTGCAAGCAGTCCTCGCTTTCTGAACTGTTCCGGAAGGAGAGCAGTTCAGCTTCTGCCATCTCCCGGTCCGCCATCATCAACATGTTCATCTGTTCCCGCTGACGCAACCGCTGGGCCCCCAAGTCCTTCCCTAGAACCAGCCCTTTAGGGCTGCCTGTCATCTGCACGGCAGAGACACCACCATAAGCTTCCTTTGGGTTCCATTTGATCCCTGCCTGCCCACTGGAACTGCGGTACCCGGCCACATCCGGGACAAGCTCCCGAGCATAGTCTCTCACCCCTTGCCTGGGGCCGATTGTCTCAGGGATGGATTGCTTAGCACTGGAACTTAGCTTCCGGGCACTCGGCTGCTCCAGGCTGAGTGCTGTGGAAAGAAGCTTCTCTTGCCGAGCAGAGAAATAGTCAGGGTTCAGTTTGTGTTTTTTGGGTGCTGGGTAATCCTTCTGACTCTCACTGCTGTAGTAACTGGAGGGCTCAGACCGAGGCCGTCTCAGCTCTGGAACCAAAGAGAACAGAAGTCAGGACTGAACTGTTTCCGTGATACATGACAAGCATTTATTCTGCAAAAGGAATAGGCCTGCATGAGCCAGTGCCTGTAATGTGCAGGCCCTGCCTGTGGAGACAGTATGCAAGAAATGGCAAGCACTGCCACCGGTGTGGGATTACCAGCCGTTTAGTGCAAGGTCAGTGCCTCTTGACACAGTGCACTCCCTGTGGGATCTTTGTCAGGGACTATTTACATGTTATTAAATCCACATGGTGGACACATGGACTACTGATGGATATGATCAAGTTCTGTGCTGGGAATGTAATTCCTGGCCACATGTGGGGCCAATCGGGATCAGGACTGTAGAACACAGAGAAAGAGGGCTTAAGCCTTCTCCCTCACTCCATTTTCCCAATGTGAAATGTCCCCAAGGAGCTGCTATTTGCCCTGTTGGGAGAAACTTACATGTAACCCTCATTATACATACATTTCTCTAATGGGACTAAGCAGCCCCACAGGCCATGTCAAATTGGCAAAATGGAGTGAGGGAGAAGACTTTAGCCCCTCCCTGATCCAAATGGGGCACATGAGTGCCTGGGAATGAATTTTCCTGCAAAGAAGTCTCAGACCATGACTGACCAAGTGCCTGCCATGTGGACTTGTAATGGGTGCATCAGCCCCCAGCATCATGAAGCTGCTTTATACTGAATGAGACCATCATGGTCAGTATTGTCTACTCAGATTGGCAGCAGCTGTCCTGCGTCTCAAGGAGAGGTCTTTCACATCCCCTACTGCCTGGTCCTTTTAACCAGCTACTTCTGCATGCCAAGCAGAGGCTCTTCCCCTAAACCACAGCCCCTACCCTCATGCATGCCTCAGGGAGAAAAGGGATGACAGGGCGGAAGCTAGTCCTGCCAATCCCAGCCGTCAAAAAATCTAGCTTGCACTTATCTGCATAACACATATCTGCTGCGATCTACTTCTTGGTCACACTGTGACACAACATCAGGATTATAAAAAACACACACACACAGGAGCCTTGTGGTAGCTTAGAGGACAGAAATCTGACAAAGAGAACAGGATCTGACAAAGTGGGCTATAACCCACAAAAGCTTATAATGGGGAAAAATGTTAGTAATTAAGATGCCACAAGATTCGTGTTGATTTTTGGTGCAGCAAACTATTGTTTCCCCCCTCCCCCCAATAACTCTTAGTTTGAGAACAGACCGTATGATACAGCCACAAATCCCTGTGGAGCAGGGAACAAAGGAAACAAAGACCTGTTCCCTGAATGTTTCTTTACGAGCTTAGTTTGGGGGGGGGGGGAATTGTCTCTGGCATTACTTTTAAAATTACCTGTATTGCAGTTGGAAATCACGGTGACTCCCCTGTGGGGCTCTTGAGCGGCAACAATCTCGCTGTGCCACTGTGTGATCCAGGTCTCACTGCTGGGCTCCTCGTTTGAAGGAGAGGGGATCCGGGGGTCTTGCTGGAGTTGGGCTTGCTCCTCCCGCTGCAGCTGCTCAAGGCACTCGGCCAGTTTCACGTGGCCCCGGGACCGGGCAATAGCCAGGGGCAACCTCCCAAGGGAGTCGGGGATAGAGATGGCACGGCGGTCCCACTTGTACAGGACCACAGCTGCGTCCATGTGGCCCAAGGCGCATGCCCACATCTGGAAGAAAGAGGATTGAGTAGGCAAGGGCCACCACTGTATCTTTCCAGGCCCTTTCTCTAAATGTTCAGTGTTCAGGCTTGACACATTTTGGAAGCATTACAAATCCTGTGAATGCAGATAGCAGACTAGACGGACACACACACACACACAGATGGCTCTGTCAGGCCAAGCACTGCACATAATTGAATGGATGGATGTAGTTATTTAATCTGTAGCCTGCTCCATCCCCACTACTCAGTGGCAGCAAACCAATGTTCAAAACCAATAACATCAATCTCATGCCATCCAATCTCTGGTCCCTACAAACCAGCTGAAGATCACACTGCCAAGGTTCAGAAGGCACTACTATTTACCAGTGGAGTGCAGGAGAAATGGTCCACATTCAAGGGGTCAACTTCCAGCTCCAGGTCGATGCTGTCAGCATGCTTCGTGCTGGGGAGGTGAGAAGAAGGGGAGTCACTCCAGGCTATCTGCTGAAGGCAAGCTGGAATCCATGGGTGGGATAGGGTGGGGAGTGGACCATCTCTGGCAGAAGGGAAAGGCAAGGAACCACAACACTGGGGGGCTTAAGGTTCTCCAGAGGGGAAATGCCACAATGCCACACAGTCCCTGGATGCTTAAGGAAATCTCAGGTGAGAGCATGCCTCCTTTGAGGGCATAAAGAAAGGTGCGTGTGAGAGAACCCAACCCTGCTCTATGCATTGGGGTGACACCGGCAGTGACACCACAGAAAAGAGTGAATTCCCCCTGACCCCAAGACCACTAGAACTTGGAGAAACCCAATTAAATCAATCAGCAGCAGATTCAGGACAAACAAGAGAAAAGTATTTCTTCCCAAAATGCATAATTAATCTATTGAGCTCAATGTGGTGGCGGCTGCTAAGCTTACATGCTTTCCCAGGGACTGAATAAATTCACAAAAGAGCTATCAGCTATGATGGCTAAATGGAACCTCCAGGTTCAGAGGCAATATACCTCATACCAGGGGTCATTTCCTGCAGGAGCGCACAGGAGCGGAGCTCCGGCAGTAAAGAGCCCAGGGGGGCGGGCACATGCAACAAGCCCCACCCCCTGCTCCCAGCAGCCCTCAGTCAGAGCAAGAAGCAGCCAGGTAAGTTGCAGAGTTCCCCCCCAGCCCAAAACAGTCCAGTGCACCTTTAAGACCAAGTTTTATTCAGGTACAAGCTCTCCCTCCTCTGCAAGGACAGATCTGCAACGTTTCCCCCCCCCCCAATAGTTAGCAATCCCAAACCGTCCAGTGGAGCGTGAGCGGTGGGTGTTGCCTTCTGACACACTTCCGGTGATGTCAGGGGGTGTGGCATATGCAAATGAGTTATTCTAATGAGTTATGCTAATGAGCTCCTGCACCTCTTTTTCTATGAAATGACCCCTGCCTCAGACTATCAGGGGCTGGACTATTGTTTCAGGCCCTGATTGTGGGCATCTGGTCAATGGGATGCTGGATTAGATCAATGGGATGGATTAGATTAAAACCCACTGGTTCAGTCTAGCAAGGCTCGTACGTTTCAAGTACATGTAAGCTGAGCCTCCCCTCACCTAGCCCCAGCAGAGTCCCAAATGCCAAGGGCCCCACCCTTCTCATTCTGCACCAATGGCAAACCCATTGCACAGGAAAACCAAATTTTATCACCCCCCTTATCCTCCACAAAAATCAAGCCCACTTTTTATTAATAATAAAAAGCAAGTTTGGTGTAGTGGTTAGGCGCGTAGACTCTAATGTGGGAGAACCGGTTTTGGTTCCCCACTCATCCACATGCAGCTGCTGGTGTGACCTTGGGTCAGTCATAAGTTCTTTCAGAGCTGTTCTCTCAACAGCAGTTCTCGAGAGAGGTCTCTCAACCCTACCAACCTCACAGGGTGTCTGTTGTGGGTAGGGGAAGGGAAAGGAGCTTGTAAGCCATTCTGAGACTCCTTTGGGTAGTGAAGGGCAGGGTATAAATCCAATCTCTTCTTCCTCTCTCTAATAAAATATTTCATTTCAAAATACATTTGCACTCCCCCTTTCCTCCCTGAAAGGGGCTCAGTCTGGCTTTGCACAGCCTCCAGGTCTTACCGCCATTTGAGGAGGGTCTGGATGAGGGTAGCATAGCCTTGGGCAGCTGCTAAGTGCAGGAGGGTCATTCCCCGGAAAGTCTTGGAGTGGATGAGGTGCTTGGATTTGGCCCAGCAGGCACGGCTCATCATCTTCTCACACACAACCACCACACGGCTTTCAAAGCAGTTCCCCAAGCCGGCCGCCCCTGAGACACACTGCAAGAGACAGGCAAAGCTCAGAAACAGGAGAGGAAGTGAAGACATGCTGCTGTGAGCAGGACTGGGCAGATTCTTCCCCTCGGGGAGGGTGCATTTTTCCAACTTGTTCTTGCACTTTGAAGGAAATGTTCCACTATGACGGACTGAGGAGAGACCCCTTTTCATACAGAGCAGCAGGCAGGCTGCACCTGAGAAGACACTGGAATGAGGCAGACATTGCCCTGAACGGCTTGTCCTCTCACAACTGCTCAGCCTTCCCAAAGAGCAGAGAAGCAAAAAAGACTCAGAAAGGGAGAAAAGAAAAGAAAAAAGGGAGAAGGCCCAAAGTCCACTCTGAAAAACTGAAAGTCCTCAGCTTTTTTTTTTTTTAAGTATTTTTCATCCATACTGATCACTGACATTATGCTACAAGTATGCTTATTTCTGAGAACCTTCCCTCTGTTTCTGCATGAATAAAATAAATTTGTAGAGATATTTGCAAACCCACAAAATACAATCTTCAGTTTCGCTTGCCACAACGCTTCTTTGGTCAGCTATGACATCTTTTCTTCCTATTCACTAAGTAGCCGAAGAAAATATTTGCACTGCTACCTCTGGGTAGCACTTCTGTCTCCCTCCTTCTCCATCATAGAGTGTACTTGCAATTCTGGCTTGAGCAAAAAGGAATTTATACCTCTTCACAAATAAAGTAAAATAGCATTTTGTGCACTCAACACTAATTACATTTTACTGAAGGCAAGGAGGACTTTAAAGAGAGTGGGGAGGCTTTGATTCCTGTCTTTCTCTTAAATTAACAATCATGTGTGTTGCACATTTTAAAAGAGTAGTTAAAGCCCCCCCACAGCTTCCTAATCTATTCAGTAATTCACAAGTGAGAAGGAGACTCGGAAGCAAAGGACTAAAAGGGACAGTGGCCATTGGATGCCTCCATAAAACGGTCAGTCCACAATTGGTCAGGTGGCACTACTGGCGCTGAATGAGGCAGAACATTCTGACTATAGCATTGTCTGGATCCACTTCAAAAACAGCATAAACAAATCATGGCAATGGCAGACTAAGTGGCCATGTGGAACTAACCAAGTTTATATGGCTTCTTATAAAAGGGTCAGAAAGACTCATGCAGGAGAACTTTCTCACCAGCTAGTCATCTTAATAGCTAGACAGAACCTCCATGATCAGGGACAGTACACATCTACAGGTTAATGTCTGGGGGGGGGGAGGTTCTGAGCTTCCCAGAGGCATCTGGATGGTTAGAAACAGGATCCCGGACTACTGGACTTTTGAACTGACCCAGCGGGGCTTTTCTAATGCTAGAAGCAGTGTAAAACACACCCTTAGTTTCCAGTTTCATTTGGGAAATCCATCAGTCCTGTCTGATCTGTTTGCTGGGCGAGGTCATTTATTCTCCCAAGCAGCAAAAAGAAGGGGCTCAACACAGTGGGTGGAGTGGCCTTTGATTGGTGGTCCATGCTGTAAACTTGGTAGTACAAGGGCACTGCTGTGCATTATTGATGCTATACTTATTCACATCATCACAACCGGCTCTTACCCTCTCAGTGGCATGGATTTTTAATGCTGTCCTTTAGGGCTGGCAAGAGCAGGGGCCTTCAATCACAGGCAGCATTTGACTTTACAACTGGAGTGTTAAACAGGTAACAAACTCTTTCCTGTTAAGCAGGCATTATTGTACAGGATGAATGGTGCGAAATACTCCCTTTAACAAGAGGACATCTTCTCCAGGTCATGGATTTGTTCTGCAGAAGATGCACACTCAAGTTAAAAGAGACCTTTTTTGCATCCTCCTGCTGACCCCTGCACCCAAACACCTTTATATCTCTTTCAAAGCTATAGCCTCCAAGAAAATTATTTTCTCCTAATACCTTTAATGGAGGAGTTGTGTGTGTGGGGGGGGAAAAGAAAGACAGTCAACATAACTGTAAAGACCTATACAAGGTGCTTTTGAAGTAACTGAACAGCATCAGAATTAACTGAATGGCACTGAATTACACTATGTGGCCATTTCTCAAAGAGACAGCGATTGGTCAAGTTGTTTTATTTCACTCTGCTTTAAAAAGTCCTCTTCTTAAAGGGAATGCACCCCAAGAGCACAAGGGAAGAGTGGGACGGAATGATGATTAATAAGCATAATAACAATAATAATATGCTGTCAAGCTGCAACCAACTTATGGAGACCCCTCATGGGGTTTTCAAGGCAAGAGATAGGCAGACATGGTTTGCCACTCCCTTCCTCTGCATAGCAACTCAGATCTTCCTTGTTGATCTCCCATCCAAATAAGCACACTGACCCCTGTTTGGCTGCCAAGCTCTGATGAGCTCAAGCTACTGTGGGCTATTCTGGCTGCTAGAAAGGTTTTGATTAAGTCCCTCCAGGTTTGTGACATCACCAGCAGCTTCTTCAGCAGCCCAGAGCCTAGGAGACACTGGGCAAGATGCCCCAAGAGGCTAACAGCTTCCAAAGGGCATCTGGGGACAGAAAGGGTAAGGGGCAAAGCCAGGGCCAGAGCATGTACCTGTGCTTGACTACCTCCATTGCCGCTGCCGTTGCTCCCTCCTACTCCTTGCTTGTGCTGCTGCGTCCCAGTCATCTCGGCCATCCTTCGCTCCATTTGCTCCAGCCGTTCCAGGATAGACATTCTGAACTGGTTATCTGCATCAAAACAGGGCAAGGGTGTGTGTGAGAGAGGAGTATCCCATGGATAGCAACACAGCAAAAAAGCATCCCCAAACTAGGAGAACCCAGTTGGGTGGAAAGAGTTAGCCGCCCTGTGCCTGCTCCGGCGGGGTATAAATTGAACAAATAAATAAGTCTTCATTATCAGGCGTTTGTTCCTTTCCCACTTCCCATTCCTGGAGTTCTGCCTCTGAGTGGACATAGTCCGGAAAAGATTCCTTAGCTTTTCTCAACAACCAAAACAGAAACAGAAGCACTTCCGAATCAGAGAACTCTACTGTGCAGTAGAAGGAAATTCACACACAGTTTCTTTGACCACCAGCTCCATACTGGCCAAGCAGCAACTCCCAATAGACAGGTTTAACAATGGCTGGTGGGCACAACAGCCAAACAGAACCTCCACATACAGCTGCAGTCTACTGAGTGCAGGGGACAAACAGCAGGGAAAAACCCCACATCTTCATGCCCTGCTTGTAAGTTCTAAGGGCAGCCAGCAAAACAACTCTTCCACCCCTCTCAGTTCCAGCATTTCTAGCTTAGTTGCCTCCAGGCCTGGTCCCTCTTTCACAGAAGAGCCACCACCGGGATGGCCCATCACCTCTCCCCATTTGCCTGGCAATCAAACAACAGGAGCCAGAATCCCAGGCTACGGGCTGGACTCCTGAGCTAATATTGTACTGGGCCTTCAGCTCCAATTCTACCAGTTCCTACTGACCCTCTCTGCAAGCTTTCCCCTTGAAGAACAGGCGGGGAAGGCAGGACAGCCTGGACACCCATGGCCAGGTCCAGTTCAGTGAGAAGATTCAAACTCTTCCCAACATTCATTTGGACATTGCCAAGGATCTGGAGCTCTCTTTCTCCTTGGCCAACATTTTACCTTAAATTTAGGAGATCTTCAGGAAGCCTTTGGGAGTGCTGTACAGTTAAAGCTAAAAATCCAAATCCCAAATTAGACAAAGAGAATAGCTGCATTTTAAATTTCTATGAATGATGCAAACTGAGAACATTCATTTGCGTCTCTTATACGAACCCCAGTTTGGGGGTGGTGGAGAAGGACAGCCATGTAAAAACACAGAAAGGCCGCCCCCGGAAGAAGTGTCCTGGCCAGTTGTCTGCCCTTTGCCCCGGAGAACCCTCCAAGCATCGCTCCTGCTCTCAAGCCTGCTCAGGCCAACCATTCCAATCCAATCCAAATCAAGTCTCTCCTGAAGGGCACTAAGATTTCTTCATACACATTGGCCATATATATATCTCTCTCTCTCACACACACACGGATTGGAAGAATCTATATAGTTTAACTCCAGGGAGCCAAGAAGGAACTTATCTCCTTACAGCTTGTTCAAACCACATCAGGGATTTCCATATCCTTAACTATTTACAGCACATCCAGAAATCAGGAGGAAAAGATTAGCTATCCAATAAATCTTGACAACACATGAAAGAAAGTAATCCAGCACAGGCTGCAAAAGAGAGTTTGCTCTCTCACCACAAACAAGGCTGCATCATTCACAAGAGAAACAAGGTATGCCTTATTCCAAGTCCTGGCCCAAATGAGTAACAACATTTACTGACAACTAGATTCTTACCACTGTCAATTACAGCTGGGAAGCTTGTAGATTACCCCCAGTACGCTTATTCCAGAGGGGAAAGTGTGTGAGGCAAGCCTGTTGCAGTCAACACAAAAACATGGCACCCTAGAGATTTATTGAAGTTTTACTGAAACAGCAGAGAGAGTTACTGAGTTGAGGAGGCCTCACTCAACCCAAACAGCTGCTTAAACAAACACAGCTTTCACTGGAAGGGAGGGGGGGAAGGAACCGGAGGTTTAGAACAAAAGATTAACAAAATATATAAACACCCATCTATGCACTGGGGTGCAGAGTGTATCATGAACAGTGGGGCCAAACAGCCACTGAAACGCATAACAGTCCAGCCTGTGACATTTCTGCACAAAGCCCAAAAGTCTACCCAATAAGAATCATTTCACAGCAGCAGGATTTGGCAATAGGGAAATTTGGTCAGATGCTTGAACCCCCATTCTCAGCCGTTCTAGGATAAGGCAATCTTTGACCAATGGTATACCATCTCCTCCTGGCCAGCAGGCAAGCACCTTTGCCAAAAGCCCCCAAGAAGTGGAGCTTCCCCTCACCTGCTAGACCAAATTCCCTAGCACCAGAAAAGGTTACCACATGTCTCCCTGCCATGGCCCCAACAATCAGAAAAATGACAGACCCAATTGTAACACTGAGAGAGAAGACCTGAGATAAAGACAAAAAGTAACCCCCACTAGATTCTATTCTGTTTAATATTTGGCTTGCTCCTCCTCCATTTTATCCTCACAAGAACTTTAATGCCCAAGGTCAGCCAATAAGTGTGATGGTTATGGCCTTGGCCTGGTTCAGTCCCATTATCACTACACCACACTAGTTCTTTCTTACAACCAAACTTGTGGGCTCTCCCTTCCTCAAGTCCTTATTTCTTATTTATAGAGAGGATTTTGTATTACTTATAAAAGATATGCACATACAGAGTTGTCTTGAATTTTATACATGATGTTTACCAACATATTTGGAGCATAAACCCTAAACCATCTAACTAGATAGATGGTTTACAGAGAAGACTTAAAATAAATGCTGGGTCAGCGACACTAAAATCAGAACCACTAAGAACAGCGGTTCACAGGTAAGAACAAATTCCCTTCCTCAAGTGGCTCTGGTGGTTAGGGCAGTCTTGACTGACAACGTTTAGAAAAGCAGCCACATCTCTGGGGTGGGATACAAGTCACCACACACAGGCCCTCTTGACTGTGCTGTACAGTCTACAGATGGACCAGAACGTGGATGAATTCAGGTGGTGCTCTGTATGGTTCAGAGAACTCCTGCTGAGCCAGTGTCACATCATCATCCAAATGTTCTACTTTTATGGGAAACAGGTGATGCTCCACCCACGTTAGCATCCTGCGTGCCTTCTTGCCTGTTTTACATGTGCATTGGCAGACATATTGTCTGTGTGGATTAGAACATTCTCTCCTTCGATTGCCTCTAGTCTGCAATGCCCCCACAACTCCAGGCAGTTTATACTATGAACGGACCTGACAAGGTCCCTGGGCCATCCATTTCTGGGTCGCCTCCCAGCCATACAGGCTAGCATCTGATCAGGATATGTGAAGAGGCAAGCCAGCAACTACACAATTTATAGCACAGAAGACAAGATGGAACGTTTTGGACACCACAGGTCAAAGGCAACAGGGACCAGTAGCAATCTCCTGGCCCTTGCCTTCCAGGAATAATCAAAATTACCACAGCATGGTACCTCTCCATCCCACCTTGACTAGGTGTACAGAAGGACACAGAGATCAGTGGCATCAAACTGAGACAGCTGACAATATTAAGAGATACACTCTTCCTGTCCATATCCTGCAGTAAGTTATTAACAAAGGTGACCAAGGAAGTATCAGTGGTAAAATCAGCCTCAAAACCAGACTGATCCAGATAATCTGTTTCACCCAAGAGACCTTGAATTCAAGAGGTCACCACATGTTCCACTGCCCCAAACAGGAATATAGGAGACCACCCTTTAATGATTAAACCTGAAGCCACTGACGACCCCCCCCCCTAAAATGGCTGTACCATAGACTCCGTCAGTGTCATTGGGATTGCCCTCTTCCTTAAAAATGCATTCCCCACTTCTCTTGTTCAACTGGCCAGTCTGCCTTAACAATTCCTAAAAGCCAGGAAAGGGCAAGAGTTGAACACACTGGTTCTGAGCCTCTCTTCTAAAAGGATCCCATCCATCTCTTCAGCTGGCACAATGAAAATTATTAATCAAATTTGGATCAGCTCTGAAGGCAACTGGTAACTCACCATATCCACTGTGCAGTCTATAAATCAATATACTGATGGGCACGCATGTGTGAACTAGCCCATGGGCTCCATGCTCCCAATAAAACCATGTGATAAATTGTAATTCTGCAACTTCTAGATAAGACTCTCATTTGAACTTTTTTAAAAAAAGAAGATCCATTTATTCTTTTGCACAGTGCCTGGATTATTCCTCCAGTGTTCACAGGAGAAGGGCATTGCTGACAAGATGATTTGCACATATCACATTGGAGGATGAGCAGATGAATGAGGCTAGGCTGGAGTAACTCTCTGCCCTGGACTGCACCGTCAACATTCAGTCATTTTATCTCAAGAGCTCCATTCTACTGAGTCAACTGCAACAGATTGAAAGTGGCCTCTGTGTAACTTCTCACTCCATTCTTGGATGGGAGAGATGGGATGAGCCTTTGTTTGCCCCCACTGTCTGCCCCCAGCCTGACATTTAGACAGGCAGAGCTTCCTGTGGGATAACAGAGATCATAGAGAATTCAGGGCTGTGGCTTCTCAGTAGCACAGGCTTGCAGTGCGCACACAGTTTCTACTCTGCTGTATTTTTTTCCAAAGAGCTTTTGTTCTACCACCAGCAGCAGCAGCAGCTGCTGCTGCTGCTGCTGCAGTGCAGTTGATAGCACTGCCACCGCCTCCCCCTCCTATTCCTATGCAGAGCATGTCCACTGCAGAGACTGACAGGCTGGCCCCTTTCTCACACCATCCTTTCAAACATGGCTGCCTCCACCTTGCCGGGAGATGCTGCCCGAATTGGCCAAGGGACACTAGCCTCGTCAATGCAGCCCTCCCTTCCAAACCCGGCTTTCCGACTGCCTGCGGCGTGAACAATCGTCTGCCTCACACTCAATGCAGGGCTGGTCTGGGCTAAAGTTACACACACAGACACACACACACACACCCTAAAGGCAGAGGGCCAAACTGGATGCTACCAATAAATGTGTGTAAACTTCCCCGGTGATCATAAAATAAAAAGCAGTCTTGGGAGGTGGCCATCAGGAGCAGAGGAATAACTTAACTCTGCTGGCTCACCACTTTACGGTTCAAAATCCCCTTCCCAAGTAGCTTTTCTGTCCACATGGGAAAAGA